CACATGTGCACACAGCTCTAAATACATACATACTTTGATTCATGCAGGCAGCTTTTTAGCTCTTCTCCCGCACCCACACTTTCTAACCCTGACGCTTTTGCTCATTTAACTAATTTTAATAAAACATCACAAAATTTATGCGCTTTATTATTACGAGTATGTGTAAGCCAATAAAAGTAATGCTGGTACATCTGGCATATGAAATTCTCTTTGTGTGGCAACAAAGTTGGAGACATAAACTGGAATACTGGTTATACCATTATATTTTCTTAGTCAACATTATTGAGTTGATAATTTCCGCTTTTCATATAGTGGCAGATGCTTTCGCTTTTTCTACCTTTTTATACCTCCATATTGACCATGAGATGAACTCTGAATAATTTTGGTAACGCTGTGGCAATGGGCTTGGAGTCGCCTATTACAGGTGGAGAAATTCACGACACAAAAATCGGGGTAAATTTTAGTCATCCAAGTATAGAATCAGATGTGGCAAATAACATCGCGCTAGGCAGCCAATGTCATTTTCCCTCTCACCATTCAAAAACCACCAACTATATTCCAACACTTCTAAGGCTGCAACGCAAGATATTAGCTGAGGTGGCCGTCGTAGCTGTGAAGTGCGTACGTGCTCTCTGCAGGCAATGACAAATATTCGACGATGTCGGCAGGAGTCATTAAAAAGCTTCTTATAAAAGCTTTTGGCCGGTCGGAGCTGGTGTAAAACGGTAGATCCCTCAATTAAGATCTCATCAGAAAATTGTCGGAGAAGGTGGTCGCGACCCAGCTACCTTGGCTCTACTTTTTTCCTCACTGCAGAAAACTGTTAAATAAAGTTCGCTAAGAGACTGGATTACGGCTAAGGTTGAAGCCTAGGCCTTCACTTTCTTGGTAATACTAAGTACCCATAAATGGAGTTCTGGCTTAATACCTGACGGCCCTGGATAACGATCTGTAGTTTATCAAATAACCATCCACAGAGAGCGTTGCCAGAACACATACCACTAGCCAAGGGTTTTCCCTCTTGAGTGATAGAATAAACTTAGTGAGTTTGTTGTCATACGCTCTGCACATAATCCGGACCATGGACAGATCGAGTTCCCGTTTAATCGCTTTGGGAGAAATTGGCACTTCCTCTATCAAGCATAGTTTCCGACAGAGAGCCTTTTTTAGGAAGCTTGACGGCATCCTCGTTGCCCGCCGGTGTCCAGAGTTGTCCTGCTCTTCGCAACACTTCTTCAGGAAGTGCTATGCAATAGGACACCTTCATCACAGCCTGAGTGTCAATGTACACTTATATATTAACTAGATCGCTGCTCAGTAGCTTCGCCGTTCTCCTAATGGTCAAAACTTTCGGCTGGAAAATGCTGCAGTAGCTCGGCAGCTTGTGGGATATGTTGAGACCGAGCTCCTTGCAGTCGACTGTCGCCAAACGCTTTTCCCATCACCGACCCGTCTATGTGGACAAATACTGAACCAGCCTTCGACCTCTATAGTTGCTTCGAAGTTCGCCTCAAAGTGCAGATCCGGGATCATGCGGTCAATTCGTCCGACTAAAATGCATAGAGGGTCACGCTATCCAGCTTAGGATTAGACCAGTTCGAAATCTTGTTTTTCCCGTTGAAGAGTACTAGAACTGTCTTTTTCGCTTTGATTGGCCAAAGATGTACACATCTTCGGTGCAGTACCCATTGCTCCTAAGTGGGCTGAGCGTGGACGGACACTTTCCGCTTACTATGACGGAAATATCATTAGTGCAGTCAGTTTGGCAGGTCCACCTTCCATTTTCTTTAGTAACCTGTAGAGCACCAACGACCACCAACGACCCCTTGCCCAACTCATTGCGCAGAAACACTTCTGCAGCTCAACACACTGCTTACTCAGTTCAAAATTACCGGATGAACGACTGTCGTATTCACTCCGTTTACAATGGTCTGCTTAGAGACATTGCTGAAGGCCTCCGCTATATCCAGGAAGACTCCCACTTTGAATTCTCCTTCCAATATGCTGCATAGCCAGGCTCTGATCTTCCGACCAGCCTTCTGCAACGTCGCAGGAAAACTGCCTTACAGGCCTGGCGGATTATGCTGCGAAAAGGAGCTTAAAGCCTACTCAAGTCTGGATGGTGTCACCAGGCTACCTTCTCCTGCTGTCGCGTCAGGTAGATCACCTGGATGCTCGGCCACAGGGAATAATATGTATCCTACAATAATGGGATTCTTTGATCTCAAACATGACAATCTCCTAATCTTTTTGAGGTGTGGTAGATCCCCAGATCGAACGATTGCGGGAATGAAAAGTAATAGCTATACTTAGAGAATATCAGTCAAGAGAAGATAGGAAAAAAGATAGCCATGCGCGGACTTAGTGACTTAGTGTCAGGGTCAGCATTTTGATGGCGGTATGGAAAGTGCAGAAGGTACAGTCCGAGATCGATAATTCGTCTACTCTAACCTTTGAAAATCTGGTGTTTGGATATACTCGTACCAGCGATTATTCCGGCATCCGAATTGCAATTTTATAGTACAAAGTTTACTTTTTTCTTTAATTAATTTATTAATTTTTTTCCTTTTTTTGTTTTCATAACTTTTGCTGTAATTAAAAATTTCTCATTACCGTACTTTAATGGGATTTTATGACCGCTGGTAATTATTTGGGCGAAATTAATGCTTTCAATTGAGTACACAACGTTCATAAAATCAAAATAAACACACTTTAGTCATGGCAATTGGCAATTGAATGAATGGAAAAATATTTTCAGCTGCTTACTGCAAGGCAAGGACATTAAAGGAAGTTAGTTAAAGCGCCATACGTACATACATACACACCTATGAACATACGCGTTCGCTCGCCTCCACACACATACACATTTCCGCAGCAGGTGTATGCATTTTGTACTCCGCAAACGTTTGCTATGGGCCAAATTCACAGTGCGTAGTTAACTCAGAATCGGCAGTTACCCTGTAGTCAAATGAACTAGTTGTAAACTACCTTACAACTAGTATGAACCGCATGCCCAACTAGTCAGCCAACTATCTTTTTTCCATGCAATCAACTGGTATTTTTAACATGGGGATGTCCTACGAGATGGCAATTGTCAGATTTCGCTCAGAAATATACCAGTATCATACTAGTTCAAAATAGACAGAAAAATACTAGTCTAATTATGGACCAAAACCACTGCTTTGGGAGTAAAAAATGAAATGAATTCATGAATATGCAATTATATGCAGTCTTAGATTTGCCAATAATTAGTGTTAAATTTTTTGAGTATTAATTAAAAGAAATAATAAATTTAATTTAAATTCATTTTTCATTAAATGTTATTAAAAGGAAAAGGTTTCAGGTACAATAAATACTATATTTTTATCTTTTTTAATAATATGGAATATGCAAAAGGAAACTTTTAGTTAAAAATAAAATGAATTCTTTAGATAATCTTTGAGTGAACTAAAATAAAAATAAAAGTTTTCATTAAAATAAATTAAATTCATTAACTTTGCACATTTCAGTCTATTATTTTCAAAAAAAAAAAAATTATAATAATAACTAATGTTTAAAATTTGAGATTTGGATAAGAATAAAATAAATAAGTATTTCAAGCAGTTATTAAATATTCTTAATTTTTGCCTATGGTTTGGCTTGTTGATTGATAATAGAAATTTATCAAATAATTATATTAATAGTGTAATTAAAAGTCAAGAATAATTGAAAATGAGCAATAATAACAAAATAATGATGTAATTAAAACTAATGAATTAATTGGCATTTTTTTTAAGTAATTAATTCTTAATCATTAAAAAGGTGGTAATATCGGTATTTGATCATTGTTATCCAAAAAAACATGCCTTAATTAATAATCATTATGAGTATTAATTATTATTTAACCGGACTAGTATAAAGGCGGATTCACCGTTCGTGTCCGGACACTTTTTGTTAGTAATTTTACTCGTTCTTTTCCCACTCTGTCTCACTGAGAGCGCAACCAAAATGTGCTGAACACTCTTTGTTCGAATCAAATTGATTTTGATTATCTGTCCGAACGACTTGATGATTATGATTGCCATTATTTCTTTTTTTTTACGTTTGGTAGCAGTTGACCCGTATAAAACACATGATTTAACATAAACACACATGTAGGCAACACTTTCGAATGTCAGTCAGCTGGTTTTTTTTCAAGCAAAATAAATAAAAATAACATGCAATCGCCACAAGGACCAAGTAAATGTAATTTATTTCAATAATAATTACTTAAAATTTGAATGTTCTTAGATTTATCACTACTCAAAAAGCTCTTCGTGGAGGTACAGAAGGAATCCCGATCATTTTTGTACGATCTCAGCCAGAAGGAATATAAAAATAACAAATTGAAGCAAATAGTTTGGGCTGAAATTGCCGAGTCGCTTGAACTACCAAGTAGGTGATATTTTATTAATGTACATATGTGTGCTCAATAGGCGAGTCCTTCTTTTTATTAGAAGATGAAGTTCAAGTGCTCTGGAAACGCACCCGGAATAAATACAAAGCTGCACTTGCCAAGTCTATCTTACCCAGTGGTAGTGCGCGGCGCCCACAAAAACAAATGGATTTGTTCTTGTTGCAG